CCCCAAAACCCCAAAACCCCAAAACCCCAAAACCCCATATGTGAAATTTCATAGAATTTAGAAGATATAATTTATATTTATTAATCAAATCACAAAACTATATCATAATTCTTAGTCATATAATTATTGAACGTACAAACATACTTATAATTATGATGATATATATTTTATATTAACTCAAATTTGATTTTGCAGCCATTCTGCTGTTAGATAAATCCTGTAGTCATTCATCTTCGAATATACCATCAAAGATAATGTTTTTACTCTTTTTCATAATTTCCAGATTTTCATTTACCATGTCTGGATCAAGTCTTTGCAAAAGTTCCTTAATAGTCAATCTTTTTAGGACTTCAAATTAATCAAATGGCAAGACAGTATTCTCACTTGGATTCAAGAACTTGGTAAGATCATCTCTGCTGACTATACTCACAAACTGTGGAGATTTTTATTGATATTTTTATTATTCATTTGAGAGTCTTGCTTTAGAACTTGATGGAGAAAGTAATTGGGACTTTGGTCTTTTCTTCAAGGGTACTACTTGATCTCTCTTCTTTGAATCACTATTTTTGCCACTTCCAGTTCCACAGATCTGAGTCTAAGGTGAAATTCTATTCAAAGCTTTATTAATGAGTCTATTGGATTATCTGTTTTCAAGTTTGATTGAATCCTTGCTTGATGAAAAAATATTGCTAATCTTTCTGGAATTTCTTTTATTTGTCTCAAGTTATTTGATAATTCCAAATTCCTTAAGCTCATCTGGTAATTCAAATCCATTTGAAGAACGATTTTAAGATAAATGACTTTGCTTGACTGAAATTCTTGAATTATTGATGACTGTTTTACTGTTGTTTTTACTCACTCTATTTGCTGGTTATAAACTACTTGTATTTCTACTTTGAGTCTGACTTATTTTAGAATTTTTCAATGATTTAGGCATTAGCTTCTAAGCTGATTTTCTCATTATATCTCTCTCATTTTACCTTCTAATAGAGCCAAACTCACCAAACAACTTATTACTCATCTGCATCACTCGAACACTGTTCACAAATTCATTCATAATTTAGTAACTCTCTATTTAATCAAGCAAGCCTTTACCATTAACTAGATCATTATCGATTAGTTCAGTATTGTCGTTTCTAAAGAGAGTTGAGAAATTTTCTGAGAACTATGGAAAGTTACAGTAGTGATCTCCTCTATATACCAATAACTATTTGCATAGGCTGTTTGGGATATGCTTGACATCAAGATGAAGTGTATCAGATGTTCTCTTAAATGATTATCTTATATTGTTTTCAAAATTGGCTCCATCATCTTAGACAATCATATGCTAAGGAACTTCGTCATCGCATTCATCAATTTAACTATTTTTCCTATACATTACAGTTTCATTTGAGTCAGATCTGATTTTCATTACTATTTAGTCAAACTTTTGAGTGCTGAAATGATCAGGGACTATATGAATGTCCTCTGCTGTTTTAAAGCAAAAGAACTAAGGGTAAATCTATTTGAAAGTAAAATCATAGAGGCAAATTGGCCAACTGCAATCACATTTATAGTTATGCACAGCCTATGATTCAAAATCACGAGTGTTTAGTGTCTGCTCTGAGAGCACACTTTAGTTAGCATCTAGATTTTTAAATATTTCCTCTCTATTCTTATATTGGTCACATGTCCTTAGTTTTGAAAGGCCAGTCAGCAGATAAAACTTGTTGTAAAAGTTTTGCTTATTAATACTGATTTATATCTTTCTCTTTTCTTCTGTCAATAATAAGTCGTCAAAGATTATGTGTGAATCATTCCTTTGCTTAATAATATGTTATTTTTCAAAAGCGATTTGAGAGTAATACTAACGAAGCTTTAAAATCTCTTTTTATTTTGGTACTTTAAAGTCTTTGGTTCCATATTAAGCCAAGTAGAGCAACTTTTCAGCTGAATAAACGTAATCTTAATGATTCTCCATTAATAGAAAGATATCCTCTATAATAATTGTCTTAAAAGAATAAGTTATTACAAAAATGTTTGCATTCAAAAATTTTTGGCTTAATTATTTCAAGGACAGCTAAACCAATGTTTTGGAGCATGGTACTACCTTAAATAAATATCATATCAAGAATTGAAAGAGACACCTATAATTATTTTAGTTGTAAGATAATTTACATCTTCTGATAGTTTGTCAGAAAATAAGCAGACAAACCAATTTAAAAAGAGGTATCGAGGGTCGAAATCACTATAATCTCTAATCAGCTCCTCGAATTTCTAATGAATATGAGGTAGCTGTTCCTTAATAAGCTATTTATATATCCACGACTCTGCTTCAACACCAATAAACTGACAGAAATAATCAATAGGCAATACAGACTCAATAAGCATAGTGAATACCCAAAATGCCTCAGTTTCTGTTAAAAATTTGATGAGTCTACCTAAGATAAAGTTCATTCCCTAAGAGTATCCAACTACTGGATTTCTTTTGGTATAAGCTACCAAGATTCTTCTCATGCTTGCTATTGTCCCAGGCAATTTGAAGTATTCATCTTCAGGAAAAGTTCTTTTCAAATCAATTTCAATTTGATGAAAGCAAGGATTGGGATAATCAGGAAAATCATTCGATAAGGCAGAATAGTACTGTTAAAACTATGGATCATTTAAATATAACTAGGCTCCTGAGCATAGTTTCCAAATCTATCAGAATTCTTAAGCAATAAAATAAGACTTACTCTTCCTCTGATTTCGATTGGAATGCCCTTAATTGCATATTTAACTAAATAATCTCTTTAGTCTTAGGTAAGGTAGCTGTTTTCCTCTAGGAACTATTAAAGAATCAATATATCTTCCTTAGAAAATTATAACTATAGATAGCTTACCTCTTTAAGTTAAAGAAATTCGTGTTCTTAGATTTTTTACTTGTTTTTGTCAGCTAAATTAGAATTAACCATCTTGTGCACAATTGATTAACTTAATTCTAATTTGTAATTATTTCCTCCATTACCTCCTCTTTGCTAATTATCTTGGCTAGGCTTCAAACTGAAATGACTTGACAAGCCTTAATTCTTAAATCCTGTGATAGGTCTGTTAGGTCGCTTTATATCCTAAATAATGCTCTCTTTTAGAAAATCATTTTAAAATGTCATTGCGTCATCTCCGGCTGTATCAAAATGAATGATTTTTTATTATTATATCTCTTTGCTTTCCTCCAACTTTTAAAATGAGGTCTGCAGACTCTGCGCATAAATTGAAGAGTTATAAGAGTTTTTGAGTGAATCATAATTCTTATTAACAAGTTGCTTATTATTATGGTTCAAACCTATTAGCTTCTTCTTGAATATATCAGTTTGATTTAAATTTATGTATGCACTGTTGCTCGGGCTAGGCATTGTACTTGATTGAGCATAATTACCAGGATTTTTAGTGATTGGATCATACTGCACCTGATTTTTCTTATTAAGTCCTCCAAAGCTTGGCAACTTCATTTTTTTGAAGATGGCCCATTTTTTAGTTTTCTTTTTCTCCAAAATATTGGTCAGATCTACCTAACTCTCATTAGGGTAATATTCCTACTCCTCTCTGATAGGTTCCATAACTAGTTTCTTACTTACTTACTTATTTTATAATATAATCTAAATCTGATTTTTTCTATTATCTATATATAAAATTATAGTAACAGGGGTTTTGGGGTTTTGGGGTTTTGGGG